CCCCCCCCCCCCGCCCCCGGGGGTGGGGCGCAGCCCCCGAGCACAGGGAATGTCTGTCTGTTCCAGCCCGGACTCTCCCGGGCTCCCTAGCTGGCTGGCCCTGCCCTCCGAAGGAGCTTGGAGGCTCTTCCCCTGCCCTCTTCGGATGCCCCAGCTGTGGTTGTGCTCCCCCTGTGGCAGAGACCCTCTTATTCCTCCCCCCCCCCCCCCCCGCTTGGGGACACCCCCTGGAAGTGTGCAGCCTGGAGCCCTTGAGAGGCGGGCACTGGGCAGGCCGTGCCCAAGAGGAGGGTGAGGCCGCCCCGAAGTCAGGGTGGGGGTGGTGAGAGGCCCACGGACAGGGTGCTCCTTCTCCAGGACACGCCTCCCCTCCCTCTGCCAGGCGCACTGGGGAGCGTGTGCTGGCCAGGAAGTCCCTCCAGCTCGCACAGGGTGACCTCCTGCACGTGGGTTGTGGCAGGGCCGCCCCGGGGGAGGGCTGAGGCAGCTCGCAGGGCGCTCACTTGCAGGACGGACGGTGCCCTGTCGCTGCTGTTCTCTTCCTTGGGGTGTGTCCAGCCTCGGTTCCCTCGTCTGCACAGGAGAGTCTTTCTGCTCTTTGGCGCCAGAGCGGGACGCAGCACGGAGACTCACAGGCCCACTCTGGCCCGACCCCTGCCCGGGGCGGGGGCACCTGCTCGGGGCCGTCCACGTCCCCTCCTCATGGGGCCGTCTCGTCCTGTGAGATGCTGGATGGGAAGAAGTGGCCGTCTGGCGTGTGTGACTGGGGCGCCCTGTCTGGGGCTTGAGGCGCAGAGGGGCTGCAGGCCCACTTCCTCCCCCGGAGCTCAGCCCCTCTACGTGCAGTTCTAAGAGTCAGGCTGACCTTCTGACGCGTCCTCTCGAGTCCCGAGAAGGGGGGGATGGCTGGGCCCCAGGGGTGGGGGCTCCTTGAGGGGAGGGGCGGCAGGCACCAGCTCAGACCCCTCCCTGGGCTACAGCTGCAGCCACTCGCTGCCCTCGGGCCGGCTCCCAGGGGCAGGGTGGGGGCCACACGGGGGAAGGATGGTTCGGATCTCCCCCCTGTCTCCTGTAAAAGGTATTTTTGTCTGAAGCTGTCATTGGGAGTTGCCAGGGGGAAGCCGCTTTAAATTACTAAGCTGTGTATTTTTGCAAGTAAGGTGTTCAGCAGGTGGGAAGACAGACAGGGTGGGGGCCAGAGACCGGGGTAGGCAGGAAACCTGTGCAGACGGGCAGAGGTGCTGCTCCAACCTGGGGCAGCCTGACTTCCCAGCCCAGGCAGGACTGGGCGCCACCCGGCAGGAGCTCCTCGAAGCCCCCTGTGGGCAGGATGGCGGGGACACCCTGAGTTTCTGACACAGTCCCTTCCCCGGCTGGCTGTGGCTTATAGGGACGGCTTGGAGGGGGAGATCTCTGGCCCCACCCCACTCAGACCCTGTCCCAAGGCCCACGGCACTTGTGGCCCTCTGACCGTGTGCCTTTTTGGAGACAAGTGACAGCACAAATGAATCCTCGAAGTTCCTGTTGGATCAGTGCCAGGCAGAACCATGAGCAAAACAAACCAACAGCCTGCCCTGTGGGGTGTGCGCTGGGGGCAGGGGCCTTGGCCTTTCAGAATTCCTCTACTTCCCTCCCTCTCCTTTAAATTTGATCTTCTTTTCTTTCTCTGACTTCTCAAGAAGTGTTCTTAGATTGCCGATGGTCAGCCTTTCCCTTCCGAGCCCACGCAGCAAACACTCTATTTTCCTCCAAGCAACACGAGACTTGGGTTTATTGTAGTTTCATTATTCTTAGGTTCAAAATATTTTTTGTGTGCATTGTGGGTTGTTTAGCGCCGCATTACTTTTCATTTTGGGTTTGCTTTTTCACTTGACTTACCCATGGTCAGAAAACGTGTTCTATGTTATTTCAATTCTCTGACTCCATTGAGACTTGCTTTATGGCCAGCATTTGGTCGATTTTGGTAAACGCTCTATCGGTTGACGTAAAGAGAATGCAGTTGTTGGATGCAGAGTTGATCTTTATCGTTTGGGTTGAGTTCACTCTTTGTGTTTCTAGTCTTCCATATCCTTACTGCTTTCTTTGCTCCTCACTCTATCAGTCCCCAAGAGGAACGGTAAAATCTGCCCCTGTGGTCATGCATCACCTCTTTATCATCTTAGTTGGCTCATTTTTGCTTTAGGAATTCCAAGGCTGTGTTAGTGGGCGCATACACATTAAGAGCTGTGTGTTCTCCTAGCAGACTGACCCTTCACTTTTATGAAATGGCCTCTTTGTCTAGCAGCGCTCTTGCCTACGGTCTCTGTCCTCAGACAGTGGTGACTGTACCAGCTTTCTCACCATACTGTCTGCGTGGTGTCTCTCTGCGATTCTTCGTACTTCCAGGCTTTCCGTGCCCTTCCAGTTAAAAACAGCTTGAAACCAGCCACAAATAATATGCAAATTAACGGGCATGGCCAGGGCTGGCCTGTACGGAGCTGCATTTTGCCCCTGATCCAGAGGGATTTCTTCTGCTCTGAGGGGGACTGAGGGGAGGGACTGGGCTAGCTGAGGCTGGTCTCCAGTCTCTGTGAGGACTGGCTTGGTTCTCCTGTCCTCACTCCTCACTTCCAGCCCCTTAGGGCCCTAAGCAAAACCCCTCCTCCTCCCTGGAAGATACCAAACACTCAGGAGGCCACCAGATGCCCTCCTCAGCTGCCCAGCCTCTTGGCCACCGTTATTAACTGGCAGATGCCTGGCAGGGAACCTGTGCCAACATGAAGCTCAAAGCCGTCCTTCCCTGGGATCTCAGACCCCACGTCCTTGGTGCTTTTGTTCCTCACAATGAACATAGTAAGTGAATGTTGTAGTGTATTAGGGGATGGTGAGTGCTACGGGGAAAGATAACAGGGCAAGGAGACGAGGAAGGCATGGGGAGGGCATGTGTGATGTACAACAGGGAAATAAGGATTGGCTTCTTTGGGATGTGACATTTGAGGAAACACTGAAGGAGGCAACAGAGTTAGTCACACAGATCTAAATCTAGGGAAGAGCATGCCAGGCCCAAGAGCGGCTGTGCAGAGGGAGCAGTGAGGAGGCCAGTGTGGCTGAAGTGGGGGCTGGGGTCTGAAGTCAGAGAGAGCGTGGGGAGCCAGACACGTGGGCATTCCAAGGACTTGGCTTGACAGGGGAGCTTCTAGAGGGTTCTGAGTGGGGCAATGGATCTAACTTCCTTTTTTTTTTTTTTTTAAGTAAGCTCTATGCCCAATGCAGGGCGTGAACTCACAACCCCGAGATCAAGAGTCTCCTGCTCTATCGACTGAGCCAGCTGGGAGCCCCAGATCTGACTTGTATTTTTTTTGTATTAAAAAAAAAAAATTTTTTTTTTAACGTTTATTTATTTTTGAGACAGAGAGAGACAGAGCATGAACGGGGGAGGGTCAGAGAGAGGGAGACACAGAATCTGAAACAGGCTCCAGGCTCTGAGCTGTCAGCGCAGAGCCCGACGCGGGGCTCGAACTCACGGACCGCGAAATCATGACCTGAGCCGAAGTCGGCCGATTAACCGACTGAGCCATCCAGGCGCCCCTGACTTGTATTTTTTTTTTTAATTTTTTTTTTTTTTTTAACGCTTATTTATTTTTTTTGAGACAGAGAGAGACAGAGCATGAACGGGGGAGGGGCAGAGAGAGAGGGAGACACAGAATCGGAAACAGGCTCCAGGCTCTGAGCCATCAGCCCAGAGCCCGACGCGGGGCTCAAACTCACGCACCGCGAGATCGTGACCTGGCTGAAGTCGGACGCTTAACCAACTGCGCCACCCAGGCGCCCCCTGACTTGTATTTTTAAAGGCTCTCCCCACTGCTGTGCTGAGAACCGATTGTCAGGTGGCAGGTGGGAATCTTATTTGGGGGCTGTGGTAATTGTCTGGGCTTTCTGAGGGCAGAGCCAGTGGGACCCCCACAAGGGTGGGTAAGGGGAGGAGTGCAAGATGATATGTGAGTCAGGCCCTCCCTCGCTCCTGCCACAGCCCAGTGAGGGTGCTCCGGAGGGGCGCCTTCACTTCCAGGGTGGTGCAGCCACCTTTGGCCCCTCCTTCCTGGAGGGTGGGGAGTCCCATGGAGACTGGAAGAGAGAACCCACTTCCTGTAAACCTCACCATAAGCCACACATGCCCCTGTGTTCACCCTCCACACGTGGCCAGGGGAGGCTGGGAAGGGGGCCCAGTGCTCTCCCCGGGACCAGCCCCAGGATGGAGGGGGAGGGCAGCCGTTACCCTCTGTGTGCACATCTCAAAACTCCTGGACTGAGCAGCCCCAGGAATGAGGCAGCACAAACAGGAAGGTGCAGGTGGAGAGTCTTTGGGAAAGGCGAATCGGAGCTCAGCCCCGGGCTCTAAGCTTGAGATGCCCTGTTCCCATGACACGGGGCGTTGGGAAGCCAAAATGGACACAGGGGTCAGGGCACAGGAAGAGGTGGGATATGGGAGCCCTGGCCACCAGGTGGTACTTAAACTGCAGGACAGGGGCACCCGCCCTTCCCAGAGGACAAGCATGGGGGGGGGGCGGGGTGGCAAGGCCCCAAGGGGGAGGGGCTTCTCTTCTGCAGGAAGAGGCTGGGGAGAAGGGTCATCGAGAAGAGGAAGGAGAGAGCCAGGAGACAATGCAGGACACAGGCCAGGGCCCCCTTGGGACCCTGGGGTCTCAGGCGTCCCTGCTCTGTGTTCACGTGGCTGCTGCGTGAACCCAGGGCAGCCTAGCAGAGTGCAGCTGGGGCTGGGGAAGGGGGTCCTACAGGGGTCTGGGCCCAGCGAAAGCTGGCCGTGGAACCCCTCTGCAGGTGTCCCCAGGGTTGTGGGGACAAGGAGGAGGCAGAAGGGGCAGGGGCTGGATGCACCCACCAGCCCAGCCTCCCGTCTTCCCCCCTACACCCCATACGCCTGTCCCACCCCCCCCTCCAGCTCTCCCCTAGACCCATGATCCTCTCCCAGCTCACTCACTGCCCCCCAAGAAACACTCGGGCTGCATTGTTCATTTAATGACATTTTTCTTCCATTTCCCTGGCACATGCTGTGTCCACCCCCATGGCCTCCTTGATCGGGCACACAAACACCCCGCGATGCCCCATGGGGTAGCTTCCTCTGGCCCAGGGCTGGGTGTGGTACTACTTCTTCTTTGGAACTTTCTCCTTTTTGATCAAGTCAGAAAATTCTAGAATAGGAGACAGATTTCTGGTGAACAATCCCTTGCCTTGTGCCCCTCAAGTCCTGCAGACCCAACGGGAAGACACGCCCCCTTTTGGGGGGGAGGGTCTCACAAGGGAGGGGACCCTGCATCCAGCCCTCCTGAGCCCTGGGGAGCAGGATTGACCCCCACAGTTGCTGTGTGCCTTGTGTCCCCACCCAGGGCCTGCTTGGTGGAGGTGAGCCAGCCCCCTTTGGGGGTTTAGGATGGACTGGGGACCCTCGGTCCCCTTTGTGGAGACCCTCAGGAATTCCCCTTAGAGTTCCTGAGATCATCCTGCCTTTCTCAGGCAGGGAGGCTGGGGCACTGAGTCCGAAGCGAACCCTTTGGCCAGGCTGCCCCTCTGTTAATTCTAGGGGCTACCCCGTAAGTCAGGGTTTGCAAGCCCAGAGAGGTGAGGACGGGCTCACAGCTGGCAGTGGGGTCTGGAGGTCCGTCTGTCTGAGGCTCTGAGCTTTGCTCGACTCTTCTCAGGGTCACCTTGCTGCCCTCTGCCCTCGGGCCCCGGGGCCAGCAACTTGGGGGTGGGGGGGGTGGGCGGGGCTGCAAGATAACCAGACCCCAGGGTAGCCATGGAGAGCCCGAGGCCCCCGTCCCTATCTTCGAACCTCCCTGCCCATCTCAGACCACCGCGCTCCGTCCCCTGCACCACGGACCGCTGCTGCGCCCTGGCTGACCTTGCCCACAGCCACCTCAGCCCACCTCTCCCCCACCGGCTCCCCTCCGTCCAGTGAGCGCCCCACCCGCTCAGCCTCCCTGACGCTCAGCTTCCCATCTGTGGTGGGTGACGGCGCCCCCTAAGGAGGAGGCTGTACGCTTGGTGCCTGGGGGTGGGCGGCCCTACTCAGCGTCGCCCCGAGCTGGGTGCCTCGCGACGTGGGGTCCGGGAGCGGCCGGCCAGGAAGGTCCCGAGAGACACCTCTGCCCCCTCTGTCTGTGCCGACCCACCTTCGAAGTCGATCCTGCCGTCCCCGTCCGTGTCTGCCACCTGGATCATGGCCTCTGCCTCCTCGTCCGTCAGCGGGGCGGTGGGCGTGCTGCTGGGGGCGATGGACAGGATGTACCTGGAGCCAGGGGTGGGCTCGGGTCAGAGCCGAGGGGGTGTCTGGCCGGTGCCCGATGGTTTGCAAGGTGCTCACTCCCCACTTTACAGGTGGGGAAACTGAGGCCCGGCTGGAGAGTCGTCTCTGGGCCTGGCCCCCGTGCTGTGGACCTGGGCTGTTTCCGGCCGCCCCACCTCCCACGAGGCCAGCTGGGGCCCGACGGGGGGTGCCAGGTCTCGTGCCGGGGTGGATGCGGTGGCCGTGGACTGGACACGGGGCCCGAGGCTCGGTACCCCTCTCCCCAGCCACTGGCCATTACTTGATCTCGTTCCACTCGATGAAGCCACTCTTGTCCTTGTCCAGAGTCTGGAAGGCCTGGCGGATGGCGCTCTCCAGCTGCCCCGAGGCCTGGAACTTCTGCATGTACTCCAAGAACTTGAGGTAGTTGAAGGAGCCTGGGACAGCCAGGCGCAGGTCACGGGGAGCCCAGAGGGAGGCTTCTGCCCTGGGGGCGGGGACTGCCGTGTCCTGCACTTCCCCTCCCCCACCCCTGTGTGCGCGAGGCTGCCCAGCCCGGGGAAGGGGGAGCTCCCAGATGAACTCCCAGATGTCCACCGCTTCCTTGGCCGTGGCCAGGCCAGGCCCGGGGTCGGGACACGGTGCTGGGGACGAGGGGTGTGCTGTACCGTGATGCCTCATGTCCGTGGGCAGCAACTCTATGTCCTTGTCTGACAGGGACGTGCCCATGGCCAAGGCCATCTTCTTCATCTGAGAGGAGAAGTCCTCGTCCATCCTGGCCCTGCGGTGGACAGGGAGCCGGCTCGGTGGGTGCACACGGGTTGGGTGCGGGGCGCTCTGCTCAGACCAGAGCAGACACCTCCCCTGCCTGGTGCCAGCGCCCGCCTCCCGAGCAGGGTCCCCGGGGGCCTGGACCAGGCCCCCGGCTGCCCTTGACCACAGAGACTCCCGGGTCCGGGGCCCTGGGGGAAGGTGTGCCTGAGACCTGCCTCACGCCAGCCGGCCCCCTTGAGGTACCGCACCCATTTCACAGAAGAGGCTGAGGCCTGCGTCCGGTAAGTAACGATCACAAGGTCCTTCACTCCGCTCAGAAGGTGGGGTGGCTGCCATCCGACCCCTCAGCGCCGTCAGGGAACTTCCCTCGCTCCTTCCCATCTCAAAGCCGCCTCCTCTAGGAAGCCTTCGTGGTTACCTAAAGCCCCACCTCTTTCCATCAGGACTCAGGACTCGGGGCCCACAGCCCTGGCCTCACTCCCCAGACCCCAGACGGGCAGGGATTGGTCTTTCTGGCCGGCACCTGACCACCCGCAGTGAGGTGTGCCGAGCGCAGGCCGGTCTCAGGCTGGTTGTGGATTGAGCCTAGGTGTTCTGAGCAGGGAGGACCACGGCCCGTGGCGGAACGCATGTCACTGTCCTCCGTTCGCAGAGAGCCCGTGTCAAGCAGGAGCCACCGAGGCAGGCCAGGACTCCAGCCAGGCGGGTGGGGGTCTGGTCACAGGCCGAGGGGCCAGCAGGTGGGGACCAGGCTGTCCTTCGGTCAGGGCGGTGCCTTGTGACCCGCCGGGCTCTCGGGTTGCCGTCCCTGGGGGGGGGTTGGGTTCTGGAGCTTGTGGCAAAACAGCTATTTCAGAGGCTCCTTGGCCCTCTTGAAAGTTCATGGGGTGACAGAACTTTCTGGAACATACTCCCGTGGCCAGGAAGGGCAGCCAGTGGCCCGTGTGTCCTGAGTGGGGCTGGGCAGTGACTGGAGGAGTCTCTACCTTCTTCCCCAATAGAGAAGCCACAGGTCAAAGGTTGCACCTCGACCCTGGCAGCCCCGGGGGGCAGGGAGTGCTGGACACAGCCCCCTAGCCACATCCTCCTTCCTGATCCTGGGCATGCCTCACAGCTGATCCGGGCCTCGGGCTCCTCATCTGTGAAACGGGGCGACCCCTGCCCGCCCTGCCCCTTCTCACGGTCGTGTGAGGAACCAGGAGGGAAGGGAGACACCGGGGAAAGGGCTTTGGGCCCTGGAGCAGGCCTGGAGCTGAGCCCCCAAGTGTCAACCCTAACAGCCAACTTCTGCGGCTGGCCCGGGGGGGGGGGGGGCGGTGGTCAGCTGCGGTCAGGGGCAGGCCTGGGCCACAGAGTCGCACCAGACAGGCCCCACCACCCCACATCCTGGGCTGAGACTCCGATTCCCCCTCTGCCACCCTGGAGTCTCAGAACTCCATTCTGGAGGGAGGGGATGCCCTGCCTGCCACTTGGGGGCCCCGCCGGAGCCAGGGTCACCCGCTTTACAGAGGACGGCCTCGGCCAAATTCCAGGCCGGGTCTGGCTGAGCCCGGGGTGGCGTCCCATCTCCGGAGCCTGGTGGGCGCCCTGGGCTGTGTCCGTTCACCCGCTCCACCCCACTGCTCTGAGGGTACCCCCCACAGGAAGGCAGGGGAGCCTGAGATCAGAGCCGGAGGGGGGACAGGGCCTGGGGCCTCAGGCTGCTGGTGGTGTATTTATAGCCCTGACCCAAGGCCCGGGATGGAGTCTCACTCACCCCCGGAAGGAGGCTGATGTGTCCCGCTAGAGCTGGGGGGTGGGAGCACCACACAGAGCCAGCCCTTTGGTGCCGTGGGCCCCCTGCCCAGCCTCCCGGGCTGCTCCCAGTGCCTGGAAAGGCACCCGCTTCGTCCTTGTCCTCCAACAGGACCCTCCCTCCCTCCCTCCCACCTCACTGACTTCCCCCGCCAAAGCAGGATTGGAGCTTTAAAGCCTGGCTAAGACCCCCGCATGTCCCCAGCATTGCTGTGTCCTGAACGTCCTCTCAAGGCTGGCAGGGACCTCCCCCCATACCCCAGACCTCTGTGGACCACCCACGGAGCCCCCCCCGGGGGGGGGGGCGGGCTGTCCTGCCTCTGGCACTTGCCAGTGAGTCACCAAGTTCAGATGCTGACGTGAAAAAAAGTGCTGCATGGGCTGGGGGGAGGGGGAGGGTAATTGAGGCAGGGGGTCGCCTCAGACAGGGACTGGGTCCCAGGGAGGGCTGGGGGTGGGGGTGATGGAAGTAGGGGCCCCACTGGATGGGGACTGGGTCCCAGGGGATCCAGAGCTGGCTTAGCGTGCCTGCCAGAGTCAGCGGGTCTGCTGGCCTTGGACCCTCCCCGCCCCCAGGCTCCCTGACCCCCCCCTCAGCACCTGGGGCCCTGAGGTGAGTGAGTGGGTCTCAGCCTCCCCACACTGCTCCCCAATAATAGCACTTTCTCGGAGGCCACACCAGCGTGAGTGTGCACACGTGCCCACCCAGGCACACGCAGCTGCCTTTGGACTGGGGCTCCCTTGGGGCTGCCCCTCCCCTTCCTCCTCCTTTTCCTCCCTCCCCCCGGACCTCCCTGCAGTCTCCTCAGCCCCCTGGGCCTCCCCCTGTCCTACGGATGAAGATGAGGCCCCCAGCTTCTGCCAGACGCTGTGGCTGGGCCCAGAGCCCATGCCCTCCTCCCCGGGCAAGGCTCACCTCCGCCTGGCTTCCTTTGAGGGTTCCGGGTGGCAGGTCAGGCTGGGGGTGCTGAGAGTCTGCTTTTATACCTGCAACCCCTGGGCCTGTTTACGGCTTGGGTTGCACCTGTCCCCCGTCCCTGCCCCTCCCGGGCACTCCAGCCTGGCGCTGGCCTCCCCCAGGGGCTCGCTGGCACCTGGCACGTCCATACTGGGCTGGGCAGACTGGACTTGTCGGCGGCGCCTGGTCTCCCCAAGCCGCGGTGGGGGCGGGGAGAGTGGACAGCAAGTGTCTGTTGTATTAGGTCCCACCCTGCCTGCTGGCTTCATAGGGCTGAGGGGAGTGGAGGGGTCCAGGAGATGGCTGGTCGGGCCTGCCAGGGTCACCCAGGGCGTGCAGGCTGGCCAGCATGTCGGAGAAGCCACCAGAAGCCACTGGACAACAATGGGACCTCCTCTAGTGAGCATCCAGGCCGGGCGGCTGTCCTGTGTGCATGGGTCACTGTAGGGGGCCAGGGAGCCATGTCAGGGCTGGCCGTAAAGGTGAGGCAGGGTCAGGGAAGTAGTCTCTGTCAGGCCACGCGGCCTCCCACCGGGGCTGTGGGACCCCAGGCAAGGCTGGCCTCTCTCTCTGGGTAGGGCCCTCCTCGCAGGACAGTCACCAGGTTGAGAGCAGGGAGACCAGAGACAGCTGCACCCCGGGAACCCTTCCCGGCTGTGGTCTGCCTGGAGACACCTTATGTCCGTTGGCTTTCTGGGCCCGTGTGCTTCACCAACAGAGCCGGACCCCAATAACGCCCGTGCGGAACAGCCCCTTCCCAGCCCCAAATCCAGCTTTCCTCTGCGTGGGTTTCCCTGGTGATCGTACACAACGCGGACACAGCTCTGAGATCCGTCGTCTCTGTGTGAGTCGCTCACACATGTTACTTTGTGTAACCACTTCACGTGAGGCCTGCAAGCTAAGGATGTTCCAGAAACTTCTCTCCCTGGCCACTGCTGCTGGACCCTGGACAGATCCCAGCATTTTTGTCACAGAGATGCTATTTCAATGCGTGTCTCTGTCCAGGGGAGTGTCTCCTCCTTGGCTATGGTCACAAGAGCAGGATGATTGGGACAAACCGTGGACGGTTCCACGTTCTTGCCCTAAACATTCCCGGCACGCCCGTCTGCTCCGTCTGCTCCGTCTGCACGTGCACGCGGACCCCGAGGTCTCGTCCCCAGCAGGCAGTGCTGACACTCCCTCAATGTACACTGTTCGGCACAAAAGGAATGAAACGCTGGACGAACCCTCACACTCACGAGGGACAGGAGCCGGTCACAGAGGACCACGGAGCGTGTGATTCCATTTGTCTAGAATATCCAGAATTGGCAAATCCGTAGAGACAGACAGCAGGCTGGGGGTTGCTGAGGGATGGAGGGGTGGGAAGTGAGGGATTAAAATAGAACAGGTTTTTATTTTGGAGTGGGGAGAACGTTCTAGAACTGGTTGCACAACGTTATGAATGGGCTAGATGCCACTGACTCGTTCATGTTAAAATGGTTTGTTTTATGTTACACAAATTTTACCTCGATAAGAAAAAGGAAATATTTGGGGCTCCTGGGTGGCTCAGTCGGATAAGTGTCCGACTTCAGCTCAGGTCATGATCTCGCGGTTTGTGAATTCGAGACCCCCGTCGGGCTCTGTGCTGACAGCTCGGGGCCTGGAGCCTGCTTGGGATTCTGTGTCTCCCTCTCTCTCTGCCCCTCCCCTGCTCACGCTCTGTCTCTTTGTCTCTGTGAAAAATAAACATAAAAAAAAATTTTTTTTAATGTAGAATGGGAAACAATGCTTTTTTACAAAAAGATTGATTTATTTATTTTGAGGGAATGAGACCGTGAGATCACAAGCTAAGCTGAAATCAAGAGTCGGGTGCTTAACCGACTGAGCCACCCAGGCGCCCCGAAACAATGCTTTTATTTTTTATTTTTATTTTTTTTCAACATTTTTTATTTTATTTTTGGGACAGAGAGAGACAGAGCATGAACGGGGGAGGGGCAGAGAGAGAGGGAGACACAGAATCGGAAGCAGGCTCCAGGCTCCGAGCCATCAGCCCAGAGCCCGACGCGGGGCTCCAACTCCCGGACCGCGAGATCGTGACCTGGCTGAAGTCGGACGCTTCACCGACTGCGCCACCCAGGCGCCCCAAAACAATGCTTTTAATGAAGCATAAATCAAAGAGAAAACCTAAAAAATAAGCACCAGTGAAGGGTCTCGCAGTGTGACTGGCCCAGTGCTGAGTCCCGCTCCGTCTGCCCCTGCATATTCCAGA